TGCATCGTTGGTGAAATCATATTGAGATATTCACCAAAACAGGCCAAAGTCAACATTTTTTACAAAATTTTGATTTTAATGTTTTTGAATAACTTTATACTTATATTTTATGATTGTATACTTTGTAAGTGAATTTTCTTGCCAAAACAGTGTTTTCTGCACATATTCTGTAATTCTAGACATATTATTTGTACAGGTTAGTTTATTTTTTAGGCCAACTTTCTCAAAAAATGGTTCTTATACACCTAAACTTTGGGTGCTCACATCTCTGGATTTACTTATAGTAGGGAAGCCATTCGGGGACCAAGTGAAACTTATGATGTGATCTGCCCAAATGTAATATAAACTCAATTTTTGAATTTCTAACCATGAGACTCATTTTGTGGTGAGACCTCACATTTTACACTGCCAAATAAACTTTAGGGTACAGATTTTTCCTCCGCTCAATTCTGTGCAAGCACAAATTCATGCAACCCCGCCCCCACCATCCTCCACCACCACATTCCATATCAATATCTGGATTTTAAAAGGCAAGTAAGCTACCGTATACCGACTTCATGTTTCTACAGAATAAAAACCCTGATATAAGAGGCTGTGTTGCTAGACCCCGACATATATGCTTTCTCCAACCCCTACCAGTACTCGTAACCCACCCCCAACACCATGGCCAACTTAATAATCAACAAAACTTGGTAAAATGTAAAATGAAATGTACTGATAGCATGGAAAAACATATCCAGGACCTGGTGTGTGGTGTGGGTAGCCGATTTATGGTGATACCTTACAAACACCCAGTGGCGGATCCAGTAAGGGAAAAAAGTGGTGCTCTATGTGATACTGTGCCAATCCTCCCCTCAGACTGTGAATCCTCGATAAGAGCTTCACCCCACGGACGAATTTAGAGGGATATCATTATCTTTTATCCTCCCACACTAAATATTTTTACCAGCCAATATGGTATACGGACTATGACTAAATTGATTTTAGTAATGCCTATGAATATATTAACCCCCAACTGCTGCATTATATTTTTTATAAATATTTCGATCAGAATTTAAAAAAAAAAATAGGTATTTGAAAAAAAAAATTAAATTAAAAAAAATGTCCATGATCAGCCCCTAAAGAAAGGGTACAAAACCGAGGAGAAGGGAATAATATTGTCAATGAACACAGATATTCTTTTTTTCTCCGCTCCCTTCTGTGCATGCGGTGTTGCCACAGGAGTGAACACAAGTATATTTCCCACACATAGTATACTCTAAAATCGATTAAATAAGCCTATGAAACCCCTAAATTGTTAATTGTTGCTGTGGGTTCGCCCCTAGACCACTTAAGATTTTAAGTGATGCCCAACCACGACCACTTTATAGTCTCGTCAGAGTCATTTCCCACCCCTGTGGAGGACTTCGGATCCCCCCCCCACCACCGTTTGGCATATCCTGGCGCTGAGTTGCCAGGACCTGAAATATATGCTCTTCCCAAACCCTTACCCTGCCGTTACCCGTAACCCTCCCCATTTCCCAGCCCAACTTACATACGTTTTTTATATTTATTTATTTCCGAAATGCAACAAAATCTTATAAATTATAACAATAAATAACATTTCGTACATGAAAACAGACATTCCCTCTTATAGAAAAAAAAAACAATGTGATCAATCTTAATTTAAAAATAAATAAATTATTAAATTATTAATTAATAATCAGGTTACCTTTAACAATAATTGATTTAAAAATTAATTGATTAATTAATCCATAATATTTAATAATCAGGCTACATATAACAATAAAATTAAGTAAATCATCAAACAGTTTTTTTTAAAGCAATCCCATTTTCTTAAAAATTTATCGAAGTTGTTTCTAATAAAAAATGTATCTTTCATAATTATAATATATGTTAACTTCTTAAAAAAATATTTCAAAATTCGGAATATATTTTTTTTCATTTTTGCACGGTAAATACAAAATTATAAAATTAACAAGATAGTATTGATGCCTGTCATATTTATATTCGAAATTCCAAGGAGACACATACGTTGGTGTAAAATGAAATATGTTACATTTTTGTTTTATTAGTTTAATCCACATGTTATATATAACTTTGCATTGAACAAAAATAATGTTTCTTCATGTCTTCTTCAATGGATTATCCGCTTTGCCAATTATGAATAGAATGCATAGTTAGCTTTTTGTCAGCTAAGGAATTATTTAGAAATCAGCTATAATCCGTCTCACTATTGCATTGTTAATATTGTACAGTATACAACTTGCAACAGCCGACTGGCCGAAAATTTCTTTCGAAAATAAATACAGTGTTCAATAGTCATGCCTTGTTGTCGTAATTTTTGTTTCAACGACTAATATATAATTTGAAACAAACGTGGATTTACAATCCTATATACATATATACATATTATATATATTCATCAAACGTTGATTATTGTTTTTCATTTTATGTAAAAATGTGAGGGGATTATGATCGCTGAAAACAGTTAGGGGTTTAACAGAAGAAGATACATAAATATCAAAATTTTGGAGTGCTGAAATTAAAGCAAGGCACTCTTTCTCAATCGTGGAGTAATTTTTTTTATGCTGATTTAATTTCTTTGAGAAATAGCTGCATACAAGATGGTCAATACCATCGTCTTCTTCCTGTAAAAGTACGCCCCCAGCACCAATATCACTACCATCAACAGCTAATTTAAAATCATTATTAAAATTTGGTGCTGAAAGAACTGGTGTGCTTTTAAGTACGGCTTTAAGTTTGTCAAAGGTTAATTGACATTGGTCTGACCAAATAAATTTCACACTTTTTCTTAGTAAATTAGTTAAAGGGGCCGCAATAACAGAAAAATTGTTACAGAATTTTCTGTAATATCCAGCCATACAAAGGAAGAGCATCAATTGCCTTTTACCATATTAGGTGCAGGGAATTCAGAAATAGTCTGGACCTTAGCTTCATGATGATTCTTCCGGTGTCATAAACCTGGATATCTTTTTTCCTTACTATGATACACTTCACGAGTCTCTTTACGTGAGTCTATTATCATCATCATGAGCATCATTATCATAATCAACGTAATCATCATCGTCATTATCATTATCATTATCATCCTCATCGCCATTACCGCAATCATCATCGTCATCATCATTATCATCGTCATCATCATCATCGTCATTATCATCATCGGCATCATTATCATTAGTTGTTGTTGTTTAAAATTTCTTTCACTATTTGGTCATTTCAAGTTTCAAGCTAAATGTACAATTTATCTCAACTACTGTGTAATAGAAATTTACAATATAATTTAGAAATAACCGTATCTAAAGTTCAAAACAAGAAAGAAAAATACAATAAATAAAAGATAGATAAATAAGTAAATACATTTTTTTTAAATGAATTTAAAACAAAAAACAACAATTTAGGCATATTTTTCCTCTGTATTTATGACAGTAACTATAACAGTAGGTATTTTTTCTCAATATTTTAGGTGAACACTAACGGTGCAATATCTTTTGATATGGTTGTGGAACAGTGCACGCCCGACCCGTTCCCTCTAATGTGGCCGATAGTTGCCCCATTTTGGGCAGATGTCGATACCAACAATGGAGGAACTGTTTACTATAGAGAAATGACCAGACATGTTGATGTAAAATTAGCTGAATATGTTGAAGGAATTGTTCGAAATCACGAAATAACACAACCAAATTTCGAACTGATTTGGTTGTTTGTTGCAACATGGGATCAAGTGGCGTTCTACGGATACTCTGGCCAACCACCAATGATTGTGAGTATAGTTACCCAGTAATCCCCAACTGCTTTTATCAGACAATATTATAATTACTATTTTTATCATAATTTTCGTTAATATTTTTGTTTTTCTAACTAAACATAAGGGCCTACATAATATTGGTGTTATTGTCGTCTTCGTCGTCATCATAATTTTCTTCTTTAAAGTTATTAATTTAGAAAGCCGGAAAGCATATAAAAATCAACATGCTGACATAAAGCGGATTATATTTCTTCAGCTAAATTACAATTATTACTGTTATTATTTATTATTATCATTATTGCATTTATTATTAATATTATAATTATTACTATTGATGACCATCATTTCCATAATTCTAAATTATGCTCAATATAAATATTAAATAACAGGATTTGTTGTTTCATTCATAGAATAACACGTTCCAAGCGTTGCTGGTGACAGACGGAACATCTTCGTTCGCAATTTTTAACTACGGTGACATACAGTGGACAACTGGAAGTGCTAGTGGGGGTAAATTGACTGGTCTTGGAGGAATACCAGCTCAGGTATTAAACGAGAGGTCCGACTCTCAGGGTTTCGTTGGAACGCAATCCTATTTCAATGAGAACTACCAAGAACTAGAGGGCGTCCTTCGAAATTCGAACTACTGTATATTCAAATTACATTCAAAAGTCTGTGTGTGCCATTATAGATACAAAATTTTGTACTTCAACTCCAACCATTGTCAGGCCGACTGAGGTGGTCTAAAGACCCTCCATCTACAAAAATCCTCCTCCTCGTTCCTTAATTTCAAATTACTTAATTGGTAATGACGATGATAATGATGATGATGATTATGGTATTGGTAGTGGTTATAATGATGATGGTAGAGGTGATAATGATGGTGGTGATGATGATTATGGTGGTGGTGATGATGTGGTGATTCACGTAGCTTCAACATACATCAGAACTCCTCCTTTGGGACATCCCTATTATTGGGACACTCTTAATAAGGGGATACTTTTCAGCCGCAAAACTAAGGAAAGTTTATCTTCTAATACCACACTTTTTTGGTCCCAAAGGTGTCATCTTATTAAGGGTTTTACTGTATTTCTGTAAATGGTTTGTCTCGATCTTTTGTACAATGTTCAGTAGATAGCAAAATGAGAGTTCCCGGCCGACCCTATTCAAATGCACTACACTGTGTATTAGAATACACGGCCCAGCTTTTTCCTGACTACCAAAATGACTCTTTACAACAAATATAGGCCCAGCTTTTTCCTGACTACCAAAATGACGTAATTGACCTCGATGACGTCATCACAAAAGGTCATTTCGTCAATCGATGACGTCATCACAAAAGGTCATTTCGTCAATCGATGACGTCATCACAAAAGGTCATTTCGTCAATCGATGACGTCATCAACTCAGATGACGTCATCACAAACTCTTTTCAGCAATCGGTCGCGTGATCTAGACTCGTTTTCCGCTTGCAGCCTCTTGGGCCAATCTCGTTTTTAGCGAGTCGATAGCATTTTTACCCTTGGTAATGGCATCTTGCTTCATCTCTTGATACTTGCGATATTCCTCGAGGACCAGTTTAAACTCTTGATCGCTAATTACGTTATCCTCCAAGGCGGCGGAAACGATGCTATCGATCGTACCCAGTTTAGTCTTGCAGATTATCTGTACGGTTTTGTGTTTTTCGCTCTTTTTCTCGAGCAACTTGCTCAGATATTTACCGCCGTAATTTAACCCGCAACAGACGGCCGCCAGCGAACCGAGTCCGATGGACAAGGGGCCCATCACGACCGTACTCGCAACGCCGACCGCACCTGCGGCGGAAACGATAGACAGGGTATTCAGACCGGTATCGATCCAGTCTACGATACTCTGAGTCTTTTTATATTTTTTGCACATTTTTTCCCGTTCAACCTCGTCGTTTTTAATGTCGTCCAGCATCTCGCTAATCTTGCTCAATCTAAATTTTTCCGCCTCGAGCGGTACCGGTTTTACCGCCGGCGACGGGGTCGCCACGTCTGCAGCTATTTCAACCATTTTTTTAATTACGTCACCTTTTTAATTATAGTCTCGATCGTAACGTCTCCAACTCCATTATCTACGAGATTGTTTTGTTCGTCAGTCACTTTAAACGTGAGTCCCTGAATCATTCCCATTTGGAGGGGTTTAAAGGTTAGGATTTTTCGAGTAGAGGGCACAACATCTCCGAGTCGCTTATCTCGAACGATAAGAGTATCGAGAATGGTGGTTGCGCGTCCATCCAAAAGAGTGCGTTTGCTCGTTAGTTCTTGGAGGTGAATGTGCAACCTATACGGCGTGTTATAGCAATACGACGTACCGATGTAATCTTGTCTCCTCTTGAAATGGGCAGTTTCCAGTTTGAAGAATGCAGCCAGCTCCTTATTGAAATAAATTAAAAAATTTTCGGTGGTTCCCGCGGGTGAATCAAATCTAATCGTTATTTTACCGGTACCTTTATCCAACTGCAAAAGAGTAATGTACGGTTTTAGAGCTTCATTATTTTTTAAAATATTTATCACTGCTTCGCACGTATAAAACCCTGGAGGAATCAATGCTAGTACCCGCGCATGTTCGTAAACTTCTCTGGCATCACGCTCTTCGATGGTATATTTTACAACGACAAATTTTTCTTTCACGTTGAAATATCCAACCGTTCTGGTAATGGATTTTAATGCAATTTGCATATTCCCCTCTCGGTTATCCAACGGATACTCGAATCGGTTTAACACACCATTTTTAACGTTTGTATTGATACAATGCATTTTATCTATGGTAAAATCCAGGTGGGGTGACATTTCGGCCGATCGAACCCGAGGGTTCTGGCAGCAAAAACTCGATATAGCATGGAGGGAAAAGACTATGGGCTTCTTTCAGAACCAGCTAAATTTTGCCCTCTGGTGCGCTACGACGGGTTGCGGAGTTTCCTACGGGGATCACATCAAGAACGAGGGTCCGTACCTCAGACGCAAGTTTTACAAGTTTCACGTCTATTACGCGACCAGACGAATTTTGCAAGAAATGTCTTGTCCGATTCCGACCGACAGATACTTTGATCCGTACGAAAACAACATCGACATGACGGCTTACGAAAGAATCTGCAACGAATTCCAAGTTCCAACAAACACAAACTGGCACGTTGCAAGATCCCGCTCGACCGGCGGAGACTATGGATACGGAAACATGGTCAATCACACGGTAAGAGGTCGACTCACGGTAGACTATTATCAACAGACAGGCGTCTCTTACAAGGCTTTTATATTGGATAAATCGCGAGGTTTCACCCAGGCCGGAGTGACGCGACTCAACGATTCGGTTCGAACCTACGTGTGGGCCATTCTCGGCGCTCAGGCGACGACGCGTACGTCGATTCTCGCTCGGGGAACGGGACTCGACGCCCAAAAGCAGTTTTTGGTCAACGTCGAGG